GGGGGTGGTGGCCAAGTGGCAGTAGGTGGGAGAGTGGCAGGAAGTGAAGTCAGCAGACAGTACGGGAGGGACAGGGTGGACCACTACAGTCTTGTTATAAGCCATGGTCTTTTATTTTTCTAAGTGAGGGTTTTGAGCTGTGGGGAGACTTAAAAGGACCACTCTGGCTGCTGTGCTGAATCTAGACTGTAGGAGGCACAAGCAGGGAGACTATAGTTAGGGGACTATTGTGACAGTCCCAGAAGAGACAGGCCAGTTGATAGTGGCCAACTATCAACAGGTTGATAGTGATAAGATGGCAAGACATGGGTGGATTCTGTCTATAGTTTGAATGTGTCTTGTTTTTCTTATGAAAGTTGTTTGTTTTATACATGAAAAATAAACATATAGAATACTCACCCAATCATCCAACAAATATTTGAGTGACTACTCTATGCTAGGCGCAATTCTAATCCCTGCCTCCATGGAGCTTATATCCTAGTGGGCCAGACATTCAACAATAAATACAGTAACGGCTGGGGGAATTGGGAGTGCCGCCAGTGTGAGGGGTGTTGATTGCAATCATAAATATGATTGTCAGGAGGGCCTCAGTGAGAATGATTTGATGTTTGTAGGCATCTCAAGTAAAAAATCCACAAACTGGCAAATGTAAGCTCTTTCCAAGTTGGAGGCTGAATTTTAAACATTTGTTAAATCCCTTCAATGCCTTGCATATAAAAGTGATCAAGAAAGAGTTTTAATAAATTAATACACACTTAAGATACACTTTTAAGAACCACAGATAGTAAGACAAAATAGTATAGCAATAAAGAGACATGTATCTCTTATATCTTTAACACAGAATAATTTAGTCCATTTACAGAACTAGCTGGGTCAGCATGTTACATAGGAATTGGATTACAGAGTATCTAAATGAAAGAAAAGGGTCATTTGGTTTTTGGGGGATAAGGATCCTCAGCAATGAAATTCCACAGAAGGGTCTCAGAAATACAAGTGAAATGCACCTTTGTAGATGTATTAAAATATTTTACCCGTTTTAAACTTGCAGTTATTTCTAGATTTAAATTAGAATAAAAATTAGAAAAATGTTATAATTCATGAGTCCAAAAAGATTTAAGAAAGCTTTGTTGATGGAATAGTGGTTAATAATTGAAATAGTCATCATTTTCCTTAACATTGATCTTCTCCTAGGACAAGAACTAAATGTCTCCATTAGACAAAAGTGCCACTTTAAATTATTCAAGTTTCTTGAAAGATTGCATCTGTCATTGGCTAAATTTGACCCATTTCTCAAGCTAAAACTCACACACACACGTAGTGTACAGGTAGAACTACTCAGCACTTAAAGGAGACTGTACCATAAAAACTTCTGTTCCAGGTTAAGCAGCAAACATTGAACCCTGTGACAAGGATTTGCTCTCATTAAAAAAAGATTATGATCATAATCAGCAAAGCTAGACCGGCATCACGGGACAGCACCTCACTCTAATCTGGACATTTATCCTTGTGCTTGTCACGTGCTTCGAC